GACTTTACCAACCTTGGAACCTCTGGGCTGGACTTAATGTCGGATTCGAATTCAAGAGCTCTGGCCATTTTACCCTGCATAGTAGAGGGGGTGCACTTGCTTTACTTGTATCTTCAGTTGTGGACTGTCCAAGGCATCTATAAACTGATCCCTCAGCAACAGCTTCAGGACATTGGGTAGGCCTTGTGTGTCATACTTTCCAAATCCTGTGCCAGTTCTTGCAAGCCTCCCTTTTAGCACGGACTCTAGTCCTAAACCTAGCCCTGCAGACTTCAGACTGATTTTGAGTTCCATACCTGAGTTCTAGAGCAGCTACCAGTGTTCCATAGTTGTACCTTTCGTCTGCTGACAACTGTCCAAGTATTTCCGGTGGTTGTCCCCTCAGGATCGTTGCTTGGTACACTCCTTTCTGCTCCTCTGTCCATCTATTCATTTCTGCCAGGAGCTCAAATTGTGCTCTATATGCTTCCCATGGTGCCTTCCCATCGAATTCCTGTGGCTTCTTTTGTACTAGATCACCCCTATTGCTGACATTCGTGTCTGGAATGTGACTTCTGGCAGGACTGAAGATGTCTGCATTAGGGTTTAGCTGCAGGGTCTGGAAGGGGCTTCCTGTTGTCTGGGGCTGATTAGGTCCATGGTTAATATATCCTCCCTGTGTGAAGGACAGTAAATCGTCCTTTAATGTATTTAATTCACTTTGAAATTTACTAATCTTTCCCATTTGTGTATGCTGGCTTTCTCTCAATTGTTGGATACTTTATTCTTGTTTATTTTCTTTCTCCTCCAACCACTGCTGTAGTCTCGCTTCTTGTTTATTTTCTTTCTCCTCCAACCACTGCTGTAGCCTCTCTTCTTGTTTCTTTTCTTTCTCCTCCAACCACTGCTGTAGTCTCTCTTCTTGTTTCTTTACTTGTTCTTCTTGTTACTTTTATTTTCCTCCAACAACTGCTGTAATCTCTCTTGTTTATTTTGCTGTTCGAGCTGCCACTGTTGCAGGTTTTCTTGCCACTGCTGTTGTCTCTCTTCTTGTTCTTTTCTCGTTCTTCTTGTTTCTTTCTTGTTCCTTTTTTCCTTCTTCTTATTTCTTTTCTCGTTCTTTTTGTTTCTTTTGCTGCTCTTGTATTGCTGCCATCAAATCTGCTAAGCTGTAGTTTGATTTGCCGCTTCTCGTTTCCATTTTTTTTCTTTCTGTTTCATCCCACTTCTGACACCAATTTGTTACGCCTCCGTTCTTTACTTAATTTTCCGTAAAAATTCTTTCCGAAGAAACTTTACCGATACAAGTCCTTTCTTAAATAAAACTGGTTTATTCTTTCTGAATACAACTTTGCGATACACTTAATTTCCACAGTCGCGCTATAACAAACGCTGTAATTCACAACTAACGCCTCACATGCTCAACAATACGTCTCTCTCTGTCTGCAGTTCAATTACACACGTATTGACCGTCTTATATGTACAATAATACTGAAATCTAGTAACCTCCCGACGCTTCATTAACGTTCTAGAAGCGTGTGACGTTTTACTAGGGTCACATGACCTCCACAGTCGTAACAATACTTATTTGAAGAACTAATGAAAGGAACTAATCGCATAGACTTATCACGTATTGCTTGGAAACTGGTTCAGTTATTTGTAGTAACTTAGATGCTTATTACGACATTCATTGATGTATAGCAATTATTATTATTTATTTCTGTATTTAATAATTTTAACAAGGGATTTATTTTTATCACGTATAGACCACAGAGATTTATAGAGGGAGCTACTACGTATTGGTGCTCCAAAAAGCTTTACATTTCCTTTTTTCAGTCAAGGAGCAAAGGTAAGAGTGATATTACTAGTGTAGTGTAATTTAAATCACTATTCATCTTTGTATTCATCCTAGTATTGGAGTTTGTTTTAACGCTGTACTCATTATAACATGTTATTTATCGATTGAATTATATTTTTCTCTTTTACTAAATCAGGTTACATATTTTATTATCACTAAATATTTTCTGTCGTTAAGCCTAACGGCTACTTAAAACGTAATGTTGCCCCCACCGTGTTGTGTTATTAAGTGGCGCCATGCCTAATAACAGTATTTTGTCAGCTATTCATAGCATGTTAATACAATTCTATAAAGTATTTAATAGCCAAACATAAAAAAATAGTGCAATTCTATAACAATTCTAATTTACAAGAAAAAGCAGTGAAGTACTTAGCTCTATTACTAAGACTTACTGTTAAGTATATCACTATCAGCTTGTCGTATCTAATTGCATGTGACGGTGGAATATTGGGATAAATTAAACAAAACGCAAATCTAATCCGCACCCAAGTTGGCTACATTTTCGTGACAAAAATGAGGTTTTAAGTACTTGAAAATATTGAATTGTGTTGCACCAGTCTCACATAACACATTTTGAAATAACATTTGAAAACTACTAATAGTAGTACTGCATTATCGGTTACATTCCAAAACATCTACATGGAATGACGTGTAGGAATGAATATACCAAGTTGGTTATAAATAACAAATGCAGATACCCGTATTTGTTTGACTATACAAGATTATGTTTATAGAAGCTTTAAGTAAAAAGGAAGATGTGTTTTTTATTGTTTACTGACAGTATGAAAAGGTTGCTTTTCCAAAACATGTAGGCACCATTACAGAAATATACCATATTTTAAATTGTATAGACTGTAGCAATTCCAACTGCTTTTATGTTTTACAGGTAATGCTCAATTCTGTTTGCTTGTCATAACACAGAAATGCTGCTCTTTTTCCTATTTATGACCAACTTTGTACATCATTACAACAAATTATTTCATGTGGATTGTGATTTTTTTTTTTCAGTGTTTCTGAAACAGGTGGGTTGTGATTCCCATGGGGGTCATTAGCTGTCTGTGCTTAGTTAACCTTTTTTTTTCTTAGACCTTGAGATGTCTGAGAGGTGCATGTATCACCCTTGGTATGAACTCTGACAAACTGTTTTTTCACCATTGTAGAGATAATGGGGGTTGTGGTGACCAAAGCCCAAATTCAACTGAGAAACACTAGTGTAGTGGTACAAGTTGTTTGCAGCTATTTCAAGATGTTTGTTATAGCCGATAATGTAATATTTAATTTTGAGGTTCATGTGTTTCAAACATCTTATTTCATCACAAAAAACATAACCAACTCGATTGTGTAAGCTTATTTTGAGTTACAAAAGTGTTTTGTTGCATTTCTTAAAATACTAAAGGAAATTGTCTGTGAATAGGACCATAGATAATACAAATATATGACCGATATACTTACTGACTACTATAGAGCTATGAATTACAATTAGCGTATGGTTTAATTGTCGTTATGTGATGTGGTATTACTATTAATTTCATCACAGAAGTGTTGGCCTAGTTGTTTTATTTTAGGGCTATATTAGCATGTACTTAATGTTTCAGATAAGATTTGTAAATATGAATTTTTTAATTTAGTACATTATAGTGTTTACCAAGTGCGTATACTATTTGCTGATATGTGTATCAACACGTGTATATGTATTTGTTCACCAATTTGAAAAAGAAGCAAAAACTTGTATTGGAGTAATAAAACACATGAAGCATAAAGATCATTCTTATTGTGAACTGAGTGATGAGTTAGACATTGATTTGTGTAAAGCTCTTTATGTCAGATCTTACAAATTGTTTACATTCCACTACTGTATGAAGGCCTAATGTATCTGTAGCCTACTCTCCTAAGCATTACCAAAGAGCTGTGATTGTATGAAACTATAGTCTACTGTAGAGGTAGTAGTAATTTGAATAATAGATTAGGCCTGAACATAATTCATCAATTTTTTCCTTCACTGAAATTACAAGATATAGTTAGTGAAAAAAATCACAAATGTTATATAGATTACCATTTGACAATTACCAATAGTTAAGAATTACCGTTGAACTAAATGTTATTTGGTAATTTGATTGATTGATACCAACAAAGCTCTTACTATACTGATTTGCTGTTGTAATTGCTTTTAATAGGGCATTAATTAAAAAATAAGGTTGTTTGATGAAAAAAAGACACTGAAACCCTAAAACTTGCTATATTTTTCAGCATTGCAATATATTTTCAGGAGTAACACACTCATAACAAAAGTTTTCCTGGATCACTGTTTATCCATCACAAATTTTTAATTAATAGGAAAGAGAGTGAAGTGTTTCAACGAAGTCTACAATGATGTGATGACTGTTACTGGGGGGGGGGGTGTTATGTTAACATGAGGTCTACTTTTCATGTTAGACTGACCATTGAATATAAGAAGATATATATTTCAAGCTCTTAACACTTGAATCCTTTTACTGCATAGGGCACTTAAAGTGTCATTCTTGCTGCCTATCTTCCAACATGATGGACACTTGAGAACAATGCATTTTAGCCCATTGTATTACAGATTTGTAAGCTTATTTCATATTCATTGTATGTGTTAATTAAGTACAATGAAAAGTTTTGGTAACATCTAGATTTCAGGATGGCTCCCAAAAGGAACAATATGGTGCCCAATGGGCATTTCCATAAGTATTGGCAGAGATATGTTAAGACCTGGTTCAACCAACCAATGCGTAAAAAACGAAGGCACGATCGGAGAGTGAAAAAAGCTCACATGATAGCTCCACGTCCCGTAGGTGGTCCCTTACGTCCAATTGTCAGATGCCCCACCATTCGGTATAACAACAAGATTCGTCTGGGGCGTGGTTTCACTTTGGAGGAACTCAAGGTAATAATAATAAAGGTGGAAGTGTTTATATTAAGGGTGAATTTGATTTTATATTTTTACATGTTCAGGACACTGCTTGCTCTGTGTGGATGTTTTTACATTAGATTTGTACATGATGTTATGGTTGGAATTATTGCTAAATTTGTTTTAGGTATTGTTATATGTTCAGGATATTGCTTGCTCTATGTGGATGTTTTTACATGATGTTGCTATGATGTAGATGACCAATGTATTGGAGAAAAATACCATTCAAATTAAGTTAATTTGTTCTTTCCCAAGTAGAGGATACAGTTTGTGTAACAGCTTTGTTTTGCTGATTAGAATGAACCCCTGTAAAAGAAAAATATTGATATTTCTCTAATTCATTTGTTTTGTGACTGCTAGCATATAAAGGTTATATTTCAACTTGTACAAATAAGTAAAGAATTATTTTTTTGGATTTAGTCATTAGTTTACTTAATTCGGCAACTATAAAAAAATTTTAATATTAAACTGCTAAATGTCTTATTATTTGCATATTTTTATCATTAATGTTTTAAACTAATATTTGTTGAGGCTGCTGGAATACATAAGCGAGAGGCTCAAACCATTGGAATAGCCGTTGACTATAGGAGACAGAACAAAAGTGTTGAGTCCTTGCAGCAGAATGTTCAGCGTCTAAAGGAGTACCGATCCAAACTTATCCTTTTCCCTAAGAATATGTCGAAGCCTAGGAAGGGAGATTCTTCTGTAAGTCATTTAGAAAAGATTGTGTGTTTAGTACTTACTTATTACAGAGAAGTGTCAAATTAGAAGTATTAAGGTTTATGTATGTGATATTTGTAAAACATTTTGTTCTGGCAAGGCTGTTCTGTTCTCTGAAAGAGAGAGATTGGATGGTTTATCTACAGTTGAAATAAATTTCTAAATGTGAATCTAGTGAAAAATTCACGTATTTTTCATTGAATGAAACTTTCATGTGCTGTTTGGTCCGTTGAATGTCCTGTCATTCTTTCAGTTTGGAAAAGTACTTGTTAGAAGGATCTGATTTAATGATGTTGAAGGGCTGGAATTTCTCTTATGTTATAGTTGCAATGTCTTTTCGTGTATGCTTTTATAGGCTGAAGAGATTAAGATGGCTACTCAGTTGTCAGGTGTTGTCATGCCTGTAAGTCAGCCAATTCGTCGAGAAAAGGCACGTGTGCTGACAGAAGAAGATAAGAAATTCAAAGCCTTTGTCGCTTTGAGGCAAGCACGCTCTCATGCCAGACTTTGGGGCATGAGACAGAAGAAGGCAAAGGAAGCAGCAGAAGAACTAATGGCTTCAGCTCCCAAGAAAAAATAATGTTTACTAAATCTGTACGACATCTAAGTTACTTAGTCGAGAAGACAATAAAGTGAAAAAAACTTAATATTTGTCATTTTCATTTTAATTCTGCTGTTACAAAAGCCACTGTTACCTTACTACTGCATCTGAGATAGCACTTTTTAATTTCTGTGGTCAAATAAAGAATAGTAAAATTTGTTGTTTTACATTACATTTTTCAGTTCAGACTGTGGTAAAGGTTTAAGATTATTCAATGTTTATATTTTTACATAAAATACTGTATACTACTGAAAAATTTGTTTCATTTATTCTGGTCAAGAATTAAAACTCCAGTACTGTGACAGTTTGTTTCTGTCATACTTCTCTTATGATTTGAGAAGATAGAAAATATAGTATCACTTGTATATGTTGAGATATATATATATACACACACACACCCCATCACATTTTTTTAACTCCAAAGTTTAAGCATTTAATAGGTAACCATGAAATGATACACTAGTGATTTGTCACTAAACTTAGAGTGGAGAATAAAACTAAGTCATAAGAGCTTTATAAAGGGCCACATTTTTAACTGTGGGAGGAAATTATAAGGATGGGTAATTCAGTTGTTTGAACTTGTGGGATCAGTTTAACTCTTTTTTTTTTTTCAGCGCAGTCTCGGTTCCCCGGGACTGTGCTTGTCATAGTTTTCATGTTGTACATTTTAAATTAGTAAGTGATTGTTAACGTAATTTGGCAGATTATCAGTAAACATTACAATGCTTTCATATGCAAAATATTTTTTATTGAGTCTTAAGGTTTATAAAGCAATAATGGTTAGAGGCGGCTTGAATGAGTAATGAAGAAAAACTTTAATACAAGTTTAACAAAACAGCAAATGTACAACGTTTCGACATCAGGTACTTGATGATGACAAAACCTTGTTGAAACATTGTACAT